CCTCAGATCTTGCTCTCTTCGTGGTACGGTTTCTCCATCCGAGAGTACTTCGATAGGCGGTTTGGCCGTTTGACACAGGAGACAAAGTGAACCGTTCTGTATTTCTTCCAGGCGAACGAGCAGATAGACAACTCTGCGTACTAATCCACGCCACTCGGCGGGTAACTTTCCACGGTCGACTGGACTTCCACTTGGCGGACTTACCGCTCCCACCACGGGAGGGTGTTCAGATAGTTCCACGCCAACATTTTCTCGTACCACAAATTCGTCGATGTCGACACTTCCGTCCGGAGGCTTGGGTTTCCCGGGCGGAGGGAGTGCTCTTACCAAGAACACTCCTCCGAGTTCCTCCAACTTTCTCTTGTCGGCGTCGTCATCAGCGTCCGTTTGAGCTGGGATGTCGTATTCTTGCTCGCCTTCGAGCACGGTCTTCCCAATCGGGGTTGACCTAAAGTCACGGTTCGCACGTTTAGCAGCAGCAGTAGTGGCTAGTGTTCTCCGGTACCACTCTAACCAATATTCCGGGGAGGACAGCTCTCCGGGAGCGGCCTCTCGGGTCCGAGCTAACACTTCTTCAGGGATGTCTAGTATCTTGCTCAGCTCGCCCAGCGACACAGCTTTTTGCCCTTCAGCATTCTTCTTCACACGTTCCTTGAGTGCAACTTCGTCGAGACCGATGAGGCGGTCTTCGAGCTCCTTGTCGTATTCATCCTTCTCTTCAGAAACCCCTGTCGCTCTTCCAGCTTCGAGATCGTCGAGTTCTTCTGTCGTGAACAGGCGGGCATAATACGGTTTGCGCGGGCCACGGGGTTTTTCTCTACCACTCTGGCCGTCCTCCTTTTGAGGGGGGCTTCCTCGCGAGCTCCCTTCCTCTTTGTATACGTCTTGTATCAGCTCCTCTGCTTCATTCAGTTCCTCAGACGTTTCGATGTCATCTTGCGGGTTCACTCTCGATGCTTCCGTAGCCTCTGCTACCATCGACACACTCTGCACCCGCTCGGTACTCTCCGAGTTCAGCTCTTCGTCAAATTGTCCTTCTTGATCCATTTCTTCAGTCACATACACTTCATTTACATTCACTTCAGTCGCATCCCGGGTGGGTTGATTCATTCCGTTCGAGACGAGGTCCACTTCATACGCGACGGTCGACTCTCCTCGAGAGTTCAAAACGGCCTCGTTCGCGTCTCTAATTAGATAAGAGGAAGGAGCGACGCACTCTTCCCCTTCCTCTCGCCCCCGTCATTGCTGGGACGGTGTTTGCCCTTGATGAGCACCGCTCCCCGTCGATTGTTGCGACTTGTACTGCTGAAATGAAGCTCTCACCGGGCACTCTGCAACTAGATGATCCGTCTGATTGCAGAGGAAACAAGCCCTTCCGGAACGTTGCTGACCGTTACGGTTGTTATAGGGACTAGTGCGCTGTTGACTCTGGCCTTGGGGCCGATTAGGCTGCTTGTAGGGTTCCTCGCACTCCATACGGGCGTGTCCTTCTTGTCCACAGTTAGTGCACGTGGCTCGACTCCGCCAGCAGGTGATTCTACTGCACCCCAGCGTGTGGCATCTCCCACAGACAATGTGGCCATCTTGCGTGTACATGTCTGCGCCTTGGCGAATTCCTCTCCCAGGTGTGAATGGAGGAGCCACCGGACTCATCTGGTTCGGTACTTGACTTTGTTGAGAGGTCTGGTACGCGGCGGCG